CTATTTAGGTCAAAAAATGAAGCAGGAGTCTAAAAGCGTGTGTGTGTGTGTGTGTGTGTGTGTGTGTGTGTGTAAGATACCAGTTCTATTTAGGTCAAAAAATGAAGCAGGAGTCTAAAAGCGTGTGTGTGTGTGTGTGTGTGTGTGTGTGTGTGTGTGTGTAAGATACCAGTTCTGAAGATGACTGCTGTGATGTTGCAAGCAATGGTCGTATTCATGACAAAGATCACAACTGCTCAAGATGCCTGTGTGACCTGATGACGACGACAGTGGCTGATGCCATATACTGACCTGCCAGGGCATGGCAGATGCTATACTGAGTATCTGATGTGCCTTCTCCTGCTTAACCTCCAACCTCCAGGCCTCCAGAGTCAGGTGTTGTTATTACCTCCATTGTCTAAATGAAGAAACAGAGGCTTTGGAGTCCAGAAGTCACATGGTTAGTAAGTGACAGGACTGGGATTTGAACTCAGGAGTGTCTGACACTGGACTTCGTGCTCTTATGTCATAGTAAGACCTTTTACAGCTCCAGCTGGGACCTGGGTGCGTGCGCTCTACCAGGCACACTTAAGTTGGAATTTATTGAGATTGAGAGAAAGAGAGGGAAAGGGGGAGAGAGAGAGACAGGGAAGGAGGGAGAGAGAGAGATCACTGCTCCCACAGGTAGTTTCATCTTATTCCCTGGGGATTATGAAGGGAGAACACGGAGGGGCGAAAAGGAGGCAGGAAGTAGACAAATACCAGCTTTCTTAAAATCGGCTACTTTTCTCAGAGTGGGGTGGACCTCTTTGGGGCTGGGACAGGAAGAGACAGAGAAAGCAGGATAGGATTTGGAGGTATTTCTGGTCAAAACACTTCTGAAACGTTGCCAAATCTTCAACCGAGTGATTTTAAATTCAGAATGGTAATCATCAAAACCATTATGCAAAAGAGTATTTACATGAAATAGTATTATATAAATATGAAAAGCATTATATAAATAACTACAGATTTTTACAGTACAAGAATTCCTAAATGTTAACGATCAGTAATCTGGCCATGGGAGTGTTAATAAACCCAGCTAGAGGAGATTTTTCTGTCAAATGTGTTCTCATTTCCTAACTATATCTTTGGCCTTGGTCATAATTCATTGTGAATGTTAACGTTCGCAAGGGTTTCAAATGGAGATAAATTACCTGGTGGTATTTCTTCAGGATGTTGTGCATTTCGGCCACATCTTCACTTGTGATGGTCTTGATGATGTATCTTTTGTCGTAGGAAGTGTGGAATCGAGCCCCACTGCGCGCTTGGGAGTCGTTGGGAAGGGGTGCGCTCCTGGTCAAGGAATTCTTCCGGTCAGGATAAGGTGGGGGGAGGAGGAAAGAGATGGGTTAGAGGCACGGCTTTCTGATTTCCAGATCAGGTGTCGTCATCACAAGCTTTCAAACACATTTATGTTTGGAAGAAACTGGTATATCCTTTAAGTAGGATGACAACATTATATATTCATTGTAACTCAAATTGCTAGTCTTTTAAATGACGTGAAAACAGCCTGGATATATACTATGCTTCTAATGTCCTTAGAGTAGGCTAATGCCTAGAATTACAATCAAAGTTATTTTGTTGATCTGGTTCTTTTCTGAGTTGGACAAGAGAGCTCAAATTTTCTTCTGAAGCAAATTAGGTTCTAGTCATGAAAAGAATTTTTGTCACATTCCCTGAGTGGTTTCCTTATAGGAAGGTATTCTGCCAGACAGTAGGCGGGAAACAGCTCTCCTCATTCTGATACCATCCCCATGAAGTGGTTACTATTCATACCATCGCAGTTTTACAGATGAGGAGATGGGGACGAGAGAGGGTTCATCACTGGGCAAAGGTCCACGACTAGTAAGGGGAAGTGTTGGTGTCATATCTCCAGTGTGGCCAGCTCAAATCCCCAGTTCTCCATCAGTAAAGCACTCAAAACCACGCTGTCTGTGGCATGCCTTGGGAGGAGTCTGGGCAGGTGTATTCTAAACTAGGTCCTCACAAGACTCTGATTTGGTCCATCCTCCACCCCCTCTTCAGCCATTTCTGAGAACAGCTTAGCTCCTGGGGTGGTGGGCAAGAAAGGGCTCTGAGCAGGGGCTCTGGTAGCACCATTCATTCCAGTATCTAGCTGCCACTACGGACACTCTAGGTGGGTAAGCCACCCTAAAGTCTCCGCTTTTCTCACTTGTGACTTTCTTGTTTGAATCTCTCATTTTCTTTGTGTCCAAGAAACCGCTCCCACTTCCTCACACCTTCTTACTCTGGTCACTCAGACTAGGATAACCTCTAACATCTTGGGAGTCTGGACCTCACCCCTGCTGCTTGTGCTCCTAGGTATTGACCCTCCTGCCCTGCCTGGCCTCACTGGGTCATGTAGGAGGGATTCAAAGGCAAAGACACCTTCCCTCTCCAATTTCCTCTCCAAAAGTGGGCATTGGAAAGCCCCACTGAATGTCCACTAAAGGGGACACAGATGTCTTTAGAGAGGTAGGTGATCATGCATCCATGATGGATTTTTGATTAAACTGTTCCTTTCAACCTGGTATATTCAAGTCTCTTTATACTTTCCTTCCTTTCTCAAGGAAATCCGACAGGATTAAGCCCTATGAAGTACAACTATGTCACAGGGATAGTAACTCAGGAAGGTCCTTATGGTGCTGAGGGAGTGGACCGCCAGCATATTCTTTTTTTTTTTTTTTTTTAGATTTTTATTTATTTATTTGACAGAGAGAGATCACAAGTAGGCAGAGAAGCAGGCAGAGAGAGAGAGAGAGGGAAGCAGGCTTCCTGCCGAGCAGAGAGCCCGATGCGGGACTCGATCCCAGGACCCTGAGATCATGACCTGAGCCGAAGGCAGCGGCTTAACCCACTGAGCCACCCAGGCGCCCCCCGCCGGCATATTCTTATCTCCCAGGATACACCCTGGCACGACTGTCCGCACCACTACGTCCTGCGACAGCACATCTCCCAGAATGTACCTCGGCACGGCTGTCCGCACCGCCACATCCTGCGACAGCGCATCTTGATCAGAGTGCTGCCAGGCACACCTGTCAAGTGCAGAGCCAAGGCTGCCAATGAGCTGAATTTGCTTTCCTTAGGTTATTAGGAAACTGGAGAGAAGGAAAAAAAAAAAATCGACATAACTTCCAATGACGTTAAATAGCAGGATCTGGAAGTGTTAAACTATTCTTGAGACAACTGAAATCCATTCGACAGACTGAGAAGGATGAAAATAATTTTCAGGGTGAAAATGGCCATATTCATGAGAGTCTAATTCTCCATGACATTGGTTTTTTGGTCCTCAAAAAAAAAAAAAAAAAAAAAAAAAATCCCCAAAAAATTTGTTTTTTGGACCAAAAAAAAAAAAAAAAAAAAAAAAAAAATCTCCTTCACACTACTTCCTACTAAGAAGAAATAAAGGAGAAAATCAAAGCGAACTCCTTGGGATTTAAAACACTAGCAAAAAAAAAAAAAAAAAAAAGGCAACCATTGCCATGGGCTAATGGTCTTATATTTTCCTCCCATACATTAACCCGCAAAGAATTATTCAAAATAACTTCTTTTTGGAAGGGGGCAGGGTAGGTAAGAAAGGCCACCTGTGCTCAGCAAAGGACAGGATGACAGCAACATATTCATTAATATCAGATATTAAAGTCTAACATTCTATCACAGACCAACGGGAGAGAATAAAATTGAAAGCTGCGCAGTAAGTACTTCTTAAAATTTAATGAGCCACCAAGTTCGCTGGGGATAACGTTGAAATGCAGATTCTGACCCCAAAGGTGTGGGCAGGGCATCTGAAGAAACAGAGGACACTGACAGAGTTGCAGCAGGTCTGTCTCCCTGGTTAAGAATCAAGAGTCTGCTGAATTGTGGCTCTGATGTGTTTTGTCTGCATAGTGTGTCAAGTCCAGCGCATTGGTGGTACCTGCATAAACAGCTTTCCCACTATATTCTGTCCCATTCTGGTTTGGTTAAAATAGGAAACTTTATTTTATTTTTTTAATATTTTATTTATTTGAGAGAGAGAAATAGAGAGGAGGGAGCCCAAGGAGGAGCAGAGGGTGAAGGACAAGCAGACTCCATGCTCAACACAGAGCCTGATGTGGGGCCTGATCCCACAACCCCGAGATCATGACCAAACAGAAACCAAGAGTTGGACGCTCAACTGACTGAGCCACACAGGTGCCCCCAAGTGGGAAGCTTTATAGTGAAAAAGAAGACTTTGTTGCATTCACTGTAGTAATTCAGTAGAGAAATGTTTAATAACGATATGTACAAGGCAATGTATAGGTTTCCATAGGGCTAGAAATGACTCATCAAATAAGCAATGGCTCTTCAGCTCAGACATTACCTCTTTTCAAATTCTTCGTCTTCCCTGTCAGTATCTAATATACTGATAATCATTTATTCTAGACTCTGCATTAGCATATTGTCCATGTCTTAATTCTGATTATAACACTTCACAAATTCTAATATTGGTTCTGCCTCAACTCCATTTTTCAATAATCACATGAGTAGACCCAACCCACAGTGTCTACTTCCAGCGTGTGTAAGGATTTTTTTAAAGCTCTTAGTTTTCAAATAATCAAAGAAGTAAGGAACACTTTGTGAAAACTAAGAAAGTACCTTTATCACTATGAACATAAAAAGATATGAATCACATTTCCTGAAAGCCTCAGACAAGCAGAAAATCAGAAGAGTAAACAGCATTTCACACAAAATGCACAATTCTTGGAATGGCTCTAAGGCCTGGAAAAATCCAACTCATTATTTCATCTTTATTTTCACAACATTCCTCTGAGATAGAAAAGGCCAGATGCATTTTCCTACTTGAAGATAACCAAACTGTGGAGTACAAGGGAGTCAAGTAATACGCAGGCTCCTCCCTAAAGCTTCCTCTGAGGAAACCAAAAGGGGCAATTTTCAAAGACTAAACTTTTTCCATTACTTAACATCACAATCATTGACTTTCTGTGGTCTTTGAAATAAGGTAGAAATGTGTGTGTGTGTGTGTGTGTGTGTGTGTGTGTGTGTGTGTGTGTCTCTCTCTCTCTCTCTCTCTCTCTCAAGGCAGTACTGTGTAATGGTCTGCCTTCTTCAACCCTTGGATTTAGCCTCTCTGAGCCTCAGTTTCTATGTCTGTAAAGTGATCAAGAAGAAACCAGGGGAGAAGGTGAGCTGAGTGAAATCTCCACCACAGACCTTTTATAACTCTAAGAACGTATTTACTCGAAGGCATGATGCACAGCTCCAGGAACTATAGATTCACCTCAGAGGGTGAGTCGAACAAAAGTTCAGTCAGAAAGCTACGACCATCACCTCAGCAGAGGCATAATGATGGCTTAGACTATCTGGGCCATGATTAAAAAGAAGATGGCAATAGTTCTTAGGACAGCATGAAAATAAAACTTCATAGATTCTAGACATTCTCAGGACAATTTTGGCAAGACCGAGAAAATGAGCGGAGAGAGGGAAACCAGGGCCATGTTTTGAAAGGAGTCACTGAGCGGCCTCCATACAGTCTGCTATGTAGCAAAACTGACTATTGAAATTCTTCAGTGTGCTCTGCCCTGTCACAAGGGAAAATGGCCCATAGTATCATACAGGATGGTTGGGAGGTCAAGAGGATGGCTTGAGAGAAGCAGAGCTTGGGAGGGACCTTCAGGAGCCCCCATAGAGTTCCCCCCATGTGTAAATAATGCTCATAATCAAAGAGCATGACAGTTAAAAGCAACCTTGGAGATTATTCCAAACCATTCAACTTAAAGGTAAGAAAACAAAACCCAGACAACGGAAATGACTTGCTTGCCTTAGTGCTTGAACATCTGAGTGGGTCGATGTATGCACATGGCTTTACAGGGACCCTGCCCAGAGCAGTTGGCCTCCGTCCCTCCCGCCACTGCCGCCTCCTTCCCGGGCTTGAGAATCTAGTGGGCATTAGCGATGGGATTGCTGACACAGTCTTCTGCGGTGACAAATAACCTTCTAATCATAATTTAGAGCATGAGAGAACTGGCACAAAACCCAAACTGTCTCTATGTTTTCTGTCTTGCCAAGTAAAAATGTATCATCGGTAACAGCCTCAATGTTAATGCAGCCCAGAGTCCTCAATTTACACTTTTACTAACATGTGTACAAATCTATCCTGACTCATTCTAGCACTGTTCATTATTCGACTTGAGGTGGGTAGGTGTAGTTGCTGTCTTCTCTCAAGGCCAGAGCTGAGACGGATGTGTGTTTGTGGAACAAGGCTTCAGGACCGGGAAAGCATGTGTGATTAAGCCCTGGGCTTAGAGGCCTACAATTCATGTGGCAC